TCCCACAGACAGAGAATTGGGAAGAAAATGCTGTAATTATGAAAACTATTCTTTAAAAAATGATGTGTTGACGAGTGAAAAAGTGTGTGTGTTTTGTTGGATTTGCACTTATGCATTATCAGATGTACTGAAAACTATTAGAACTTGTTGCCTTGCTTGACTTTCACAGCTCATGAAGCATTGAGTCATAAGTTGCTGTGAAAGAATTTCTTTTGTAAAATAAATTTTATTACCAGACATCAATGTTTGAGACCTGCAAATTTTGGCTAAAATTTTGTGAGACACACGCTTTCAAAGGGCCAGTCACCACCCCTCATAGCTACCTTTTTGGTGTAAAATGGAGTTAGGCTTAAGTGAACCTACGAAAGTCTGAAATACTACTCAACACTATTATTGAATGTGCAAGAAAGATTCTCCAAGATACACACCACCCTGTATGATCAAATACCACTTCAACATTTTAAAAAGACCAGCAAGAAATGGTTTCCTGTTGGCTGAGCTTCTCACAAACTAAATGGGGACTAAGATTGAGTTAGGAAATCAGGGAACACACCTATATAATCATGCCAATAAGGTGTTGTTGCATTCTTGTGGCACAGAGAAATGCCATACAGTAAGTAAGAAACAGGGTAAAATATTTGTGGACTGGTCAGACACATGACTGAGATAAGTTAAGGCTAGGGTTTCAAAGAATGGGTGAAGCTCCCTCAACAAAAATTCTGATTACCTGATTATCTCCTTCAAACAAATTTTACATACAATAGATGGTTCCTCTCTTTGTTGCAGACAGTTGGTGACCTGAATGAACGATCATACATTTTTCTGGGGGGGAAGGGTGGAGGGTGGGATAAATGCAGAATTGATCAACAATGCAAAGAAGAACTTGCTCTCAATTGTTTTGATGAGACCAACCAATGGCAGCTAATATTATGCAACTGATTAATAAAGGAAAAGAACAAAAAATACCTCCAAATTTCTCAAGTCATTATCACTCACCAACTCACAGATATATCTGGTCCTCTTTCAAGAAGGTGGCGAGATCCACATGGTCATCATCTGCACCATCTCCCTTGACCATCCAGAGGGGACTGGAATGTGATGTTGTTGATTGTAAATCAGGCATATTCCATGTCATATGGGTTGCTTTTCATGCAGTAGTGACTCAATTGTAAATTACCTAGAATTAATAGAAAAAAATTCCTTTAAATTGTTATTTCTTAAAACCTCAATATTTAAAGCAACATCATTTTTGGCCTGGAAATGTTTACTATTAAAATATCTTTGACTGATCACATACTTTCTTATGGCACAGCAAATTAAATGTAAAGACAACTCATAATAAATTAAACCAGTGGACCTCAAAGCACATACACGTGATATGGGCATCTGTTCCAACACCTACATGTACAGTAACTTGTTTGAGACTATAGTGAAGGTATCAGTTTACAAACAATGACATCACCCTAAAGACATATGCATTTGTCTGGTTGCTTGTGTTTACTACATGTACGTGGCGTGTGGGGGTGATTTTAGAAGTTTGTGCTCTGAATGCATGAAAAGTTTGGATTCCACAGCATAATATGATCAATACAAAAGTAAGTTGAAGTGGATTTAATGTAGCTGAACAAATTCCAGACCCATTCAGTATCAGGGAAGGTTAGAAAAAGATCTTGAACTATGGCCTGATCTTATGGGTTGAGACATCTTTGTGTTGCCTAAATATGGCAAAATAATTGCATGTGAAAATTAATGAAGACTGTAAAATTGTTTGGTATCACTATATTTATTTACTGAAAGTGTGTGAATGTGAGAGATTTGAAAGTTTTTAACTCTTTCCATAACCCGCCCTACATGTATATGCACCCTTCACAAACAACGGCAACATTCAACCTCCATACTACTTAATTGCTTTTTTACTTTTGGCAAAGCTGGGTGTAGCGACCAGAGAGGGTGATGGACAAAAGACTGACCCCCTAATCCATGGACTACCCTAATGGACTACCCAAATGGACTACCCTCAAATGGACTATCCCTCAAAAATGCTATTTCAGATGAGTGGTATGTTAAGAAGCTGCAATTATATCCTTACACTGCACGGAGGATGCTTTTCTTTTCACTCCACATCGCCTTCAGCCGCCATTTTGAATAACTATACTGAATAAAACAACCGCTGTACACAAAAAGTGTAGACTCAAATCAAATCAATTATTCTGTGGACAACTCAGTCTTCCTCCCATGTGATTCAGTAGCTCAGTCTTTCTTGAACAGACGAAATGATCTTCAGGATGTTACTCATGATTTGTTTTGCTTGTTTTGTGGTGAAAATTATGGCATAGAAGCAGCTAGTCTTCTGGTTTTTTCCTGAGTGTATCAAAATGAAATAGAAATGGGAATGAGGATAAAGAGGAAAAGAGTTGTCTGGATTGGATCAATTTTATTCACTATAGTTATTCAAAATGGCGGCTGAAGGTGATGTGGAGTGAAAAGAAAAGCATCCTTTGTGCAGTGTAAGTGCAATGTATATAATCGCAGCTTCTTAACATACCACTCATCTGAAATAGCATTTTTTAGGGGTAGTCCATTTGAGGGTAGTCCATTTGGGTAGTCCATTACGGTAGTCCATGGACTAGGGGTCAGTGTTTTGTCCATCACCACCAGAGAGAGCTTTCAAGCAAGTGAAACATTTATTTGTGCTTGAATTTCCAACATGACTTTTGGTATGCATCAGCATTTAAATTTCCTTCAGTTTTGCGATGTAGCATTCTAGACTTGTACTATTCTAACTAAACCATCAAAATCCACTTAGGTGCTCACAAGAAAGCTCTAAAACAACAGATTTTCAATCTTAGTGTGCCTTGATGTAGCCCATGTAATATAAACAGTCCACGATACAGTCATTTGAAACTCATTATTTCTGCTTGATTGAAAAATCACCAATGCAACAGTTGCATCTGGAAAGAGCACCCCAAAATTAGTGTTTTGGCCAAGTTTCAGAAATTTATGAAAAAATAATCCTAAACTGAAGTGAAGTGACAATCAATTGAAGAACACTTGAACTTCATAGTTATATATTTCCTTGACTGTTATCATCACATTATGCCTACAAGGATCGTGTTAAACTGATTGTGAGGTCACTGATATCTTCACTACAGGCGTCACATGTGATATATAAACAATAGCCTCCAGTTGGCGGGAAAATATTCTTGGATATTTGTCCACAGACATTATCTGTTCCCAAGAAGCCAACAGTTTACCGAGGGGATACTGTAGCTTGAGGAAAACTGTGAGCTTCAAGGAACAGATAATGCCTAAGAACAAATAATTCTCACAACATGCACAATTTTGAAAATCGGGGAATATCATTCGGATATTCCCCAGTTTTAGCCGGGGCAAATTCAGTCACGTGACGCGTTTGGACATATTTGATTGATTATAAGGGCAAAGTATGGAAATTAAAACCTAGCTAGTACACTATATACTTGTCCTGCCTGATCCGGCAACAGCCCCATCCCCCATTCAGCCCTTAAATATAAGCCTCCTAAATATTCGAGCTTATTACCTGAACTGTGCTGTGTATGGTCGTTTTATCAACTTCAAGAATGTTTTCTCCAGTGAGCAGTGCTGCGAGCACAAAAGGGAAACAAACAACTTTGTACTCACCTCGCTTAAATCAACCAGCTGACGTCTCAACAAGCCACTGTCGCAGTGCTGTCACTATTCATCGTTTTGCTAAGTCGAGGCAGCAAAAATAGCTTTCAAAATTAAAAGCGCATTGACTCAGTTGAGTTCGGTCGCCATTTTGGAATGAACGCGCCTGAAAGACTGGAAACCAATTAGTCCCCAACTCGTCCGCGATACAATCGACTTCAATAAAAAAAAAGAAATTAAAAAATAAGTCGAAAACCATTCAGTGGATAAAGTTAAGAAATCTGATCTTATAGGAAATAGATAGAGAAGACACTTTTCCAAGTTTTAGGTTTGTGCGCTTTCCCAGACTGCAGATATTTGTCGAAACGTTTCGCAGAAATTTACAGAGCCCAGTATGGAAACGCCATGTTAGTGCACCAATATGGTGGCCGGACAATGGAACTTACTTTTGCTATCTAGGCGACTGATTATCTGTACTGAACAAACAAACATTTGCATAAGCACTTTCCCTTATGATCTAACTTCTGAAAAAGCTAAAAATCCTGAGATAGGTAAATATGTTTCGACAAATGATTGTAGCTTTGTGTCACGCACCGCCATAACTCTGAAATTAACTGATACGCTGGTTTTCAAACGAAGCACACTATTGGGCTGCAACATTGTAAACAGATATAAATTTACCCCCTCCTCCCACCCCTGTTATGCCTGATGGAGATAAAAACTTTGATGGCTTTTTAGTTTTCGATTTTAGAAAATGATGACGTCACATGAAAACGATACACACTTTGGTTAGTAAGACTGGCATCTATCTTTAAAAAGAAGTTAGTTTTGTAAAAGAACATCAACGCGGTCTATAAAGGCTAGTGGAAGGAGCAAATTAAAATTTTCACTCCGAAGAACCCATTATTTTATGACCTTTTCAAGCACGTGCGATAATATTTCAAATTATGACCAGTGAATCATTTTGGAAATCCGATCATACCAGAGACATATGACAAATCAACATGATATCGATCAGATCTAGTTGAAAACTAGCAGCAAAACTTTACATATAAGTTCAATGTACTTTCTTCCGAAAAAAAATCTACCTACGGTTTTCGTTGAAACTAAAACTTATCGATCTTGAACTCAGAATTGTGAGGGTGGTAAAGGGGAGATATAGATCACGTTTCACGGAAAATAAAGCAGCCCTTTCACAATTCACGAAAAATACAACATTGGAATTTCACGCTTCACGGAAAATAAAAGAGAACGTTTTGGAAAATCACGGTTCACGGCGACTATGGAAATCACGATTCACGAGGAAAAAAAAATGGCTATTTCTCATTTCACAGGAAATAAAACGGGCCGATCACGGGTCACGAAAATACCCTTTACCACCCTAAATTGTTTTGTCAATTACAAAATTTACCACCGGAATTATTTCACATACATGTAATTTTTTATGTAGTCACTCGCAATGCTACAAATGAACGTTCTACAACAAAACCGTAAATTACACTCACACGAAAAATGCTGGGAATAAAATCTTCTGAAACAGGGGGTAGGTACAAATCCTTTATTACTGCAAGCGGTTGGACTTCGTATTGTAAAATTGTTTTTAAAAGTTGTTTTCACGTCCTATTCACTCAGGGTATATATGTCCATATGATGTATGTATGTATATGTCCATATGATGATTTCTAAGCATGATTTTGACAGGCTAAAAACATATATCCAACTACAATCGGTGGACTTAATAGAATAGTACCCGCAAAAAAACCAAAAAACCAAAAAAACAATCCGGGATATATAAGTCGGAATACTGAAAATTTGTAAATCTATTATGTTTGATGGGGATATCACTGGACGCGAGAACGCAAGAGCCTCATAAATAATTGGTTTCCGACTCATATGGTGCGGGTAGCTGTGCATCAATTTCCTTTTTGGCTTTTCACTATGATCTTTCTGCTGGTACGTAAATAAAATATTAATTATTCAAACCAGCCTACCGAATAAAATAAAAACATTCGTTCATGCTCTTACATGTAATCTCGTCTTTCATGAAATAGCCAATTCGGGACACTGCGGGCTTCGTTACTCGATTTCAAGATATATGGAATGACTATTTAATCAGTGCCTTGAATATTAGGAGAAAAAGATTATCAAACAAAGGAAAACAAGGAGAACGTTAATGACGAAAGGAACAATTTCAAATCTATAATGACGAGGAAGGTTATATTAGAAAAAGCAGAGGAAATTAAATGAACAAAAATGGACAGAAAAGTGGTGCCGGAGGCTTCTTAGTTTTTAATCAAACACGTTTAGTAAGTTCACCAATTTTTTTACAATCACGGAAATTTATGTTCGACAGGAAAGTACAAGCGGTAGTGGTTATTTGCAGAACACTGTTTTCATTAACACTTTTTTTAAATCTTCAAATGTGACAACGTTCAATATATTTCCGAGAGCTAACGTTGTGAGAAATGTATGAGGATCGGTTCAAAAAATTATAGCTTTGGAAAAACAGCGGTTTTAGCACCTGTGTTTCTTTGTTTCTTCTAGTGTCACGTGATGCCAACATATAAGAGTCCAGGATGAGAGGGTTTTGATACAAAACTACTTCACACCTAACGTGAGAAGCACAAGCTTTACAAAACGCAGTTGTTTTTATTACTTTATAACCATAGCCTTCTTCCATGTCAAATCTGGAAGAGCTGCTGAAATTTCACAACGCACGGTTAGCCCGCGAACTTGAGTCCCGAACAACGCCCGTGATTGTGGCGGAGTCTGGTCTGATAGCATTCGTGGCCCTGTGCGCTTCTCTGGGAAACACGTTGGTGTGCGTTGCGATTGCTCGAAACCCTCGCCTTCACACGCCGACTAATATGTTGATCTTTGCTCTTGCCATGACCGACATAACCATGTCGATTGCTACAATGCCTTTGACCGTGGGCGTCCTCATATCAGGACGCTGGATTTACAGCAACGAAGTCTGTCAATTCCAAGGCTCGTTTCCTCTGACCCTGGCGGTCGTATCTTTACAGTTAATGGTGGTCATTTCCGTGAACAGATACCTGCGTGTGGTTAAACCCAACCTGTGTCGCCGAGTCTTCACGACGAAGAAGTCGATTGGTTTCGCCGTGATGGTGTTTTGCTTGGCGTGTTTTCCAACTCTATCCCCGATGTTTTACTCTCGAGAAGGCTACATGTTTCACCCGGGAAAAGCGTACTGCGCTTTCGCCATGGAACAGAATTTCATCTTCGCTCTTTGCATGGGATTGGCGTTTATAATATCACCCTTTATTATCATGTCGTGCCTGTATTGCCGTATCTGTTTCTCGGTGCGGAGGACGGTGTTTCCAAAAGAAAGCAACTCGAATGCAGAAAACCAGCAACGAACCGCACACGTGCAAGAAGTGAAAGTGACCAAAACGCTGGCCGCTGTTCTTGTTGGGTTCTCGTGTTGTTGGCTTCCTATTATGGCTATCGACCAAATCGACATGAACAATGGAGCACCAATGCTTCCCAGACAGGTTTATTACTTTTACGGTTTGTCAATCTACATGTCGTCAGCCATAAACCCAGTGTTGTACGGCCTCATGAACCGCTCGTTCCGGGCGGAATATAAAAGAACGATCACTTGCAAGAAGGCTTGACTTTCTTCACTGATTTCACCAACAAATTTGCATCACAGAACTCAAATATAAACTGGCTTTGACTAACCGAAAATGCGCTTAGTTTAGTACATAGCCGGTCTGTGCATTGAATTTTCTTGGCAGTAATGTTGAGAAAAAACTGTTGCAAGAGCAGATAAGAAACTGAAAGAAACTTTAAAACTATATTAAGCCAAAGAGCGCGTGTATTTGCTTTAGTGATATCACCTGTATTATATGTTAAGTGTGTTTAAAGCCACATGAATACTGCATGAGTTATTCGTAGCCAGTTTTATTTCAGAGCTGTTATTATTGTACTTAGAACCTTAATTTGTTAAGGAGGTTTCCATCTACATGTACCTACGAAAGACAAAGCGAAGAAGGAAAAATTGAAGACCATTATAACTGATCTTCAAATACGAAAACGAATGTAATTTGAGGCGTCAGGTAAAATATTGACTTTATACGTTTCTATTGACATTTTCAGTGCTAGTGCTGGGAGCCATTTCACCTGCAGTACAGACATCGAGTTTATTTGACTTTGTTTTTAAATGTCAGCTCCTTCAAACACTTAAGTTTACACGGTCCTATTCCTTTCTGGATTCAATATAACTGATCGGCCCATAACAAAATTTGTTGATGTCTAAAAAGTGTTTATCTGCTCCTCGGGGAAGTTGAAATATCAAAAAATAATTTTTGCAGCGTAGAAAAACCCGACATTGAAGAATCGACCTCTGAAACTGTCATGCCGTTTAATTTTGACAGATTAAAAGAGTATTTTTCAACAGACAATTATTATCTGAAGAAGAATAGTTGTCTTTCACCAAGGGCCAAATTAAATTGAAATTAATTTCCTTGCCAAGAAAAACCAAACAAAGTAACATAGAAGTAACAGGAGTATATTTTTTTTGTTTCTCAGAAGGAGTCAAATTAAGGGCACGAAAATGTTAATCAGGCATTTTTTTTTTCCACTCCGGGCATTAAACTATATTAGATAAAGAGAAAGCGCAAAATATAAGCCTGTAAAGTTGCACTGAAGAGTCGCATTTTGTTTTCGTTTCTCGCACGCGCCTTATGCGATCAGTAGGATTTTCGGATGATGCGAGATATATTTCAAAAACTAGGAGGCGAAATACTAGAGAACGACATAATAATGGAGTAAATTAATCCCTTATTCGACGATTTAACATATAATACGCATGATATTTTACTCATTGCTCGCAAACATAATTCGGGGCTCGAAAAAATTCTGCGTAATTCGCCACGTTTCTGCGCTCTTTAAGTGTTAAACCATCAGATAAGGATATCTGCAGTGACTGACGGATTGAAATGTTTAATTTCCTTGGAAATCTTCCAATTCGTTTATTTCAATGAACAGTGCTTGCATCGAAGGGCCAACTTGTACAACTGTTGAAACTCAGCTAATCCCACGTAAAAAGTTATCGATGTCGTTATTTACATAACAACAACATACGAGTTATTTGCCAAAGTTGACTTTTAGAAAGGGTCCTTTATTGATGTCCAAACCTAAATATTAGCTAAATTGAAAACATCTAAAATTGCAGAACGTACTCTTAACAAACGCTAAAATGTTGTGTACAGCAATTGAAACCCGAAAAAGCTATACTAAATATGTAACGAATGGAAGCAAAACAAGATTTGAAAAAACACATGATATAAAAGAGTTACATCGAAAGAGGCGATCTTAAATAAATTGCTTTGTAGTTCATTTACTCCACCTAAATTTGACTGGAAGAGACACTCAAGACGCGGAAGAGAGTCAGGTTTATTTGAAAACAAGTAAGTACTGGGTTAAAAGAGCTTTCGAAAAGTTTATTTGGATGTTTTTAATCCAGGGGCAGGACCAAACAGGACATTCAGCTGCAGTTTTCAGAGCGACAAAGGCGTAAACTTAAATTCGACCCCAGTTTGGAATGGCTTAGTACGGGAATATCTTTTCCCTTCAAGAATTGAAGTCCATGGATCACGCGTGCACCACGCGCGACAAGACCAGATGACTTAAACTCGCCCGAAAATTCTTGTTGTCCTTGCTTGTTTTTAATTCTAACTACAGTAATCGCTTATTTGGAGGAAAAACTGACGCTTGAAAATTTACTCAACAAATTTGACAATGTTTTTAATTTGTGCACACAGTGGAATATTGAAGGATATTATTTTTAGCACCTTCACATCGGAAAGCAAGCGTTCCGCATTTTACGACATCCTTTTTTATTAGTCAGTACACTCATTTCCTATGTTTAACTGGGTGATAAAAATCAACAAGAAACACTGATAAAATTGTGTCAATGAAAGTTGAGTCTTACTGACCAAGGGTATTATTGGCCACAAAAACGATATGATCAGGGGCCCGTTTCTCGAAAGCCCCGGAAACTTTTCGTGCCCGCAAAGCCATTTTTATTTAATCGGTATTTAAAGACAGAGAGGTGTATACGCCTGAAACTTTTTGTATGAAGAGAACATCTGTTCGTGTTAAGAATATATGAATAAAACAGCTCTGTAGTCAAAGGTTTGAGATTTTGCTACGGCTTTTCGGATGCGAAAACTTCTCGGGACCTTCAAGAAACGGGCCCCTTTTTTGGGTATCTACGATATCCGGGGCCGTTTTAATTTCGGTTCTTGTTTTGGTCACAATTCGGGCATAAATTATTTAGACTTTTCTGAATTTATAAATAGGTATTCGGTATATCGGGATAAATTAAAAGTATAAAAGTATCGATGTATACATACATACATACATACATACATA